CGGGATGGGTGTTGGGGAGAAAATGAGATTGGAGGAGGCCCCTAGGGACAAGCCGCTTGCCCTGTACTGAGATATGGGGGAGGGTTTGCGGAAGTGAAGGCAGATGGTGGGGGGGGGGTGCCCCCCTCGCTTCGAAAAGACACTTCCGAACCCCTCGGATAAACTGAGTTCCCCTCCCCGTCCTGGTTCTTACCTCCGCCTCGTAGGTAGCCTCGGCTCTGCCTTACGCCCACCACAGGGGGCACAGGACTGGGCTGGCTACTTTTCTTTTGGGGAACAGGTGGGGGAAGTTTGGGGCCCAGCGTGAGGGGCAAGCTTAAGGACGGGGAGTGGGGCTCAGGTGGGCCGTACGCGGCCGAGGGTTAGCAGAAGGGACACCGCAGTCCAGGGCTTCTGCGACTTCCAGCTTCTCCGCCCACACCGGGGCAGGCCAGGGGAGGAGCTCGGCACGGCCCCGCCCAGGGGCGGAGCAGGGGCGGGGCCCGAGCGGACCTGGCGGGGTGGGCCGGGGACGCGAGGCGGAGCGGGGCCCCACACAGGCCGCGGCGGGTGGCTTGGGCCCCTACGGTCCCGGCGGCGGCTGGAGGAGGAAGCCAGGCGGCTGGAGGAGGAGGGGAGGTGGAGGATACCGAGGCTGGAGCACCGCCCGCCGCCGACTCACTTCCCCGGCTCAGCAGGGAAAGGTACCGCGCGTCCCTCTCCTGTTCGGGGCCCACCAGCCCTCGCCCCAGCGCTGGCAATGGCTGCGGCCCCCGCGGGAATGGTAAGGGGCCCAGAGTGGCCCCCGAGGGCTCAGCCGGCCCCAGGCTCTGGCGGCCAGCGCGGCGCTTGGGCTTGAGGCTGGGGTGCCCGGCGTTCCCGGCGGCTCGCCGAGAGCGGTGGCGCCGCGCCCCCCTCGCTGCCTTGGGGGAAAGCGGTGGTCTGGCCCCGAGCGGCAGTGGTCCTGGGCGGGCCAGGGTGAGCGCGCCGCGGGTGGAAGGCAGACCGGTCAAAGGCTGCGTGCTGGAGGGGAGCTCCCGGGGCGCCCGGCGTGCGCGCTCCGTGGGCGCAGACAAAGCCGGGCGCGGGTGCCCAGCGACGACTCAGGCGGCCCGGAGGGTGGGCGCTGGGGGAGGAAGAGGAGGCTCCGGGGCATGGGGAGAGGCTGCATCGCCCGCCCTTGGGGCTCCGGGCGTCCGAGTGGTCTCCTTGGAGGCTCCGGCAGGGTAGGGAGCAGCTGTCTTGGAAAGGCCAGCCAGGGGCTCACGGGCTGCCCCCGGCTTGGCGGGAGTCAGGCTTGGAAAAGGGTAGGGTGTGTTTGAGTGCTCTTTTTGGGGGAGGGGCTGAGGAAAGCCACCGCTCTGGGGTGGGGGATGGGTCTTGCTTAGAGAGGGTGAGGGGCCCGCGAACCCCCTTGGTGTTTGCAGCAGGAGAGGCACGGCCCGATGGGATGAGCGCGGTGTCTGGCGTGTATGGTGAGATGTGGTTGTTTGCAGAACTTGCCGTTGGTGTCACATCCCGTACCAGTCCGTAGGGGGTCAACTTGTCCATGGTTGGAGCAAGCAGCGAGGCAACAGGTCCCCTGGGGGTCACTGGGAGTGGGCTTGAATGGAGGGGGTAAGTGGGCGTGCATCTGAAAGGTGTGCAGTGAAGGCCCCCACCTCTGCCACCTCTGCCACCTCTGCCCCCTTCCTTGTTTTGGGAGAAAGAAACACCCAGTTCCTGCCACAGACAGGTACCTGCACTTGGGCTCCAATGTGGGATTCACTGTCCCCCATTCCTCAGTTCCCTCCCTTCTTTCCAGTGGTTATCAGTGGCTTCTTTTCCCCTGGATCATTCTGAACAGTGTAAGAACATCTGCTACCCCCCACCCCTATTTTATAGCTCCTGCGTTTTGACCACTCATCCCCCTTCAGCTGTGGCCCCACTTCTCTTCACAGCCAGACTGCTTCAGATCCCCCCGGCTCTTCAGCCCGCTTGACCTGGCTTTGGTCCCACGCTTCCCTGAAACCAGAACCAATACCCACTTTTGGCTTCTCCTGATTTCCTTCCTCCCTCCCTGGCTGCCCCTTCTTAGTCTTCTTTGCCAACAAAGGCTTCGCCTAACTAAACATTGGAGGGCCCCAGGGCTCTGCTCTTGGTCCCCCCCTTATTTTCCTCTCCTCTTTTCTCCCTTTCCCCTCTACTTAGACACCCCCCTACCCCAGCTCTCATTCATTTTTGTGATTTTCAGAATCAAGGATTGATTTACAAACACATAGATTTAAAATGTACATCATTTTCATTCTCATGATTTTAAGTCGGAAATTTTATCTCCAGCCCCAGCCTCTCTGTCCAAGCACCCATCTGATTTGTGGTGTCCCTGGATGTCTTAAAGGTATGAAAAATGTAAGATGGATGAAATAGAACTGTCTCAGTTTTCTAGTGCTGCTGTAACAGAAATAACACAGGTGGATGGCTTTAACAAATAGAAACTTATTTTCTTAGAGTTTAGGAGGTGAGAAGTCTGAGCTTAGGGTGCCCACTCTAGGGGAAGGCTTTCTCTCCCTGTCTGCTCTGGAGGAAGGTCCTTGTCTCTTTGAGCTTCTGTCCCTGGGTGATCTTCTGTGGCTTGGCCTCTCTCTTCCTTCATCTCTGCTTCTGGCTTGTTTAATCTCTTTTATACCTCAAAAGAGATTAACTCAAGATACGCCCTATATTATCCCTGTCACATTAACACAACAAAGACAACCCATTCCCAAATGAGGTTCTAACCATAGGCATAGAGATTAGGATTTACAACAGATATTTTTGGGGGCACAATTCAACCCTTGGTGATGCCCACCAACATGACCCTTCCTAGGTCTTCCCCTCTCAGTAAATGACCCATAAACCACCTGCCTTTAACGATAGGCTATCAGGTGACATCAATTCCCTCCTTTCCTTCTCTCCCCACGTCCAGTCCAACAGCAAATCTTTTTGGTTCTTTCTGCAAAGTTCTTTATCTCAGGCCTGTTCTCTTAGGCCTCTGACTCCAGGGCTATCCCCCCAGGCTGAACCACTTTTATGTTTTGTCTGAACTGCTGCAGTAGCTGCTAACTCCTCTCGCCATGTCTGCACTTGTCCTCCTCTGATTCAAGTTAACAGAGCAGCAAGAATGATTTAGAAAAATATACATTAGATCACCTCACTCCTATAAAACCTGATGGCTTGGAATAAATCTCAAATGTGTCCCCTGGCCTCTGGGACCCTCCATGATCTGTCTGCTGCAGACCTCACCAGCCTCAGCCTGACCACTGTCCCCTTTGTGTTCTCCCTGACAGCCACACCAAATCACTGCTGCTTTTTCCTGTCCCAGGGCATATGCTACTGCTGTTCCCTCTGCCTGGAAGACTCTTCCAGGCTCCTTATCTGGGTTGACTCAGCATCTTATCTTTCAGCTCTCAGCTCAAATATGTTATTGTTAGGTGCTGTGGAGTCAGTTTTGTCTGACTCATAGCGATCCTATGAACAACAGAAAGAAATACTGTCCCTCAGCCACTGTGTCAGTCCATCTCATTGAGGGTCTTTCTCTTTTTCGATGACCCTCTACTTTACCAAGCACAATGTCCTTCTCCAGGGACTGGTCCCTCTTGATAACATGTCCAAAGTATGTGAGACAAAGTCTCGCCATCCTCACTTGTAAGGGACATTCTGGCTGTACTTCTTCCAAGACAGATTTGTTCATTTTTCTGGCAGTCCATGGTATATTCAGTATTCTTTGCCAACACCATAATTCAAATGCATCAATTCTCCTTCTGTCTTCCTTATTCACTGTCCAGCTTTTGCATGCGTATGAGGTGATTGAAAATACCATGGCTTGGGTCAGGCGCACCTTAGTCCTCAAAGGGACATCTTTGCTTTTTGACACTCGAAAGAAGCCTTTTGCAGCAGATTTTCCAATGCAATATGTTGTTTGATTTCTTGACTGCTGCTTCCATGGGCATTGATTGTGAATCCAAGTAAAATAAAATCCCTGACAACTTCAGTCGTTTCTCCATTTATCATGATGTTGCTTATTGGTCCAGTTGGGAGGATTTTTGTTTTCTTTATGATGAGTGTAACCCATACTGAAGGCTGTAGTCTTTGATCTTCATCAGTAAGTGCTTCAAGTCCTCTTCACTTTCAGCAAGTAAGGTTGTGTTATCAGCATATCACAGGTTGTTAATGAATCTTCCTCCAATCCTGACACTGTGTTCTTCTTAATATAGTCCAGCTTCTCGGATTATTTGCTCAGCACACAGATTGAATAAGTATGGTGAAAGGATACCACTCTGATGCATACCTTTCCTGACTTTAAACCACACAGTATTCTCTTGTTCTGTACAAACGACTGCCTCTCGGTCTATGTGCAGGTTCGTCATGAGCACAACGAAATGTTCTGGAATTCCCATTCTTCACAATGTTATCCACAATTTGTTATGATCCACACAGCAGAATGCCTTCGCATAGTCAATAAAACACAGGTAAACATCTTTTGGTATTCTCGCCTTTCAGCCAAGATCCCTCAGACATTAGCAGTGATATCCCTCATTCCACATCCTCTTCTGAGTCTGGCTTGAATTTCTGGCAATTCCTTGTGGATGTACTGCTACAACCATTTTTGAATGCTCTTCAGCATAATTTTGCTGGCATGTGATATTAATGATATTATTTGATAATTTCTGCATTCCATTGGATAACCTTTCTTTGGAATGGGCATGAATATGGATCTCCTCCAGTCAATGGCCAAGTAGCTTTCTTCCAAATTTCTTGGCACAGACAAGTGGGCGCTTCCAGCATTGCATCTGTTTGTTGAAACATCTCAGTTGGTATTTCATCAATTCCTGGAGCCTTGTTTTTGGCCATTGCCTTCAGTGGAGTTTGGACTTCTTCCTTCAATACCATTGGTTCTTGATCATATTCTACCTCCTGAAATGATTGAACGTCGACTAATTCTTTTTGGTTCAGTGACTCTGTGTATTCCTTCCGTCTTCTTTTGATGTTTCCTGCGTCTTTCAATTTTTTGCCCATAGAATCCTTCAGTATTGCAGCTTGAGGCTTGACTTTTTTCTTCAGTTCTTTCAACTTGAGAAATGCCAAGTGTGTTTTTCCCTTTTGTTTTCTAACTCCAGGTCTTTGCACATTTCATTATACATAATGCTTTATTTTGTCTTCTTGAAACACCCTTTGAAATCTTCTGTTCACCTCTTGTACTTCATCGTTTCTTCCTTTGCTTTAGCTACTCTACATTCAAGAGCAAGGTCCAGATCCTTTTATGACATCCATTTTGGTCTTTTTTTTTTTTTTCTGTCTTTTTAATGACCTTTTACTTTCTTCATGTATGATGTCCTTGATGTCATCCCACAACTCATCTGGTCTTTGGTCATTAGTGTTCAATGCATCAAATCTGTTCTTGAGATGGTCTCTAAATTCAGGTGGAATATACTCAAGGTCATACTTTGGCTCTTGTGGACTTGTTTTAATTTTCTTCAGTTTTAGCTTGTACTTGCATATGAGAGTTGATGGTCTGTTCTGCAGTCAGCCCCTGGCCTTGTTCTGACAGATGATATTGAGCTTCTCCATCATCCCTTTCCACAGATGTAGTCGATTGGATTCCTGTGTATCCCATCCAGTGAGGTCCACTTGTATAGTTGCCGTTTATGTTGTTGAACAAAGGTATTTCTACTGAATATGTCATTGGTCT